GGATCTGTGCTGAGCCCCCGTTAGGAATTCTGCCATTAGCCAAGTCACTTCCTGTTCCTCAGTTTCCTCATCTTGCCATGAGTCACACGAGTCAGTGTTAATAGGACAGAGATGGAAGCCCACCGTGACAATAGTAGTGATTGGAAAGTGGGTGTGTGAACCCCTTTATAGGCTTAGAGACATATTGCAGCCATAGTCCTCGGCCCAGCAAGTCCCAGGCTGTGCTCTTTACAGTGACTCTGGCTATGCTTAATTTAAAATTAAAAACTAAAACAGACCCAATGATAACTATAACTATTGTTTGCTTTAAATGTATCAATAAACTTAATGGGAAAAAATAAAAAACTAAAAAGAAATGTAAACAAATGCTACATTTTTTTTTTGGTACGCGGGGATGGAACTGAGGACCTTGCGCTTGCTTGCAAGGCAGGTGTGGTGCCACTGCACTACATCCCTAGACCCAAATGCTACAATTTAGACTGGATACAAACAGGATGGTATGATTAGGAATCAAATGCTCGGACACTTAATGGGCTTTTGGGGGACAAGAGAAAAAGGCAATCATTCTTTTTCTCTAGGTTGGACTCTTCACGGAAATTGGGCCAATGTCGTGTTTCATCTCTCGACACGTGAGTGAGTGTGTGGCAGAGTAAGGAGGCACCTGCACGCCTGCCAGCCATTGAAGCATCTGTGGAATTTGGTAACCGGGTCTCACTTTCCTTCCAGTCCATCCCATCTGAGATGGAGTTCGATCCCAATTCCAACCCGCCCTGCTACAAGACAATGGACGAGGTGATCAGGAAGGAGGCCCCAGAGGGAGGAGGTGTCTGCCCTGCTGAGGGGACCATGGCCTGCGGATGTTACACGGGCCACACTCTCCTCTCCCCAGGACATCGTCATTCAGCAGGATGATGAGATCCGCCTGAAGATTGTGGGGACCCGCGTGGACAAGAACGACATCGTGAGTCTCGCTGTCCTCCCCTACCCTCATCCGTTCTCTGCTGCGCCAAGAGCTGTGGGTTTCTTAGCATCTGCACTTCCTGTGGCTCAGTGCTCTCCTGTCCCAAAGGCCAGGGTTGGGGTGGAGCAGGTGCTGAGCCCTCCATGCCGTGTGACATTTTGGCCTTTCCTCCCGCAGTTTGCGATTGGCTCCCTGATGGACGATTACCTGGGTGAGTGCCTGTCCAGGTGTTGCTCCCTGGAGTCAAGTGTTTGCTTGGAGGACCAAGGCCTTGACCTGGGAGGGATGTGGCTGTGGCCTCCCGAGCTCTGGGTCTGACTGCTGTGCGTCTCCTGCATTTGTTCACAGGGCTTGTAAGCTGAGCATGTGGCCTCCTGCCTGCTTGGGAAGTCTGTGGGTCTGCATGCTGTGGTGTGCGTCCAGCCACTGTTGGGGGAAGGTTCGTCGTGCTCAGGAGATACCTGCTGCTCCGATCCTTCCTGCTCCGCTGCTGCTCGCAGATGTGTGTGTGTATTCTAACCATAAAAGCCCTTGATTCTCATGCTGCACTGTCTTCTTTTGTGGTAGGAACAGTTACTTTTTAGAAAGGTTGCAGGGCTAACTGCCCCTAGCCCCCTTTTCCTTTGGCCTGAGGCCTGGACCACTTGGGGGATTTGACAAACTTTTTGCCCAGGTGAAAAGATAAAAGTTGACTGCAGGGAAGGCAAACTCGGAGACTGAATCCTGGCTTCCAGAAAGTGACACCAGCTGCTCTGAGTCCTGAACTAGTTCCATGATTCTTGTCCTTAAGCTGCCCTTAGTTATTGCTAAAGTTATGAGTGGGACACAGGAGGAGATACTCCTGATGGGAAAAGTGATGGAGCTGTTCCTGTGCTGGGTGTGTGAACACCAGCAGTCTTGTCTTGCGTTGACATGAAGATGGGAAGGCGCTGTGATCCAGTTAAGATGACAGTAAAAACACCTGAAACGTCTGCGGCTGACCCAACAGGGCTAGGCTGTGGACCGGTGGCAGAGCTCTCCTAGATTTGGCTCGCTGCTTATCTGTGTGCAGGACGGGCAGTCTCCCTCCGCTGCTCACACATATTTGTTTGTTCCTCCCGCAGTGCACTTGTCCTGCTTACCCATTCACTCCCTGTGAGTCCCAGTGGAGTAGCAGCCCCAGCCTCCCTGTCTGTGAGAAGAGAACCGTGTGCTAGGGTGTGTGGGGCTTGAATGGGTAAGAGCTGGTATGGGCCAAGTGCAAACCACAATGGCAAACCATTTTTCTTTTTTTTGGTTTTTTGAGACAGGGGTCTCACTATGTACTTGAGACTGAACTGGAACTCACTATGTAGCCCAGGTTGGTCTTGAACTCAAAGCGATCCTCCTGTCTCAGCCTCCTGAGTGCTGGGATTACAGGTGTGCTCCACCACGCCCGGCTGGCAAACCACTTTTAGAGCTGTTCTGTCAAGATGAGATATCACATAGCAAGGACAGACCACCCTGAGGCCTGAGGCAGGGACAAGAGAAGTGGCACCTGTGCCCAGACCAGAAACACAGTGGTGCTTCCCCAGCACTCTTGTAACCCAGGGTGCACTGTCTTGCAACTCCCTGGGAACACTTAGATGGCAGTGGGCACCGCTTGGTGTTGGTTAGTCTCGCAGTGCCTTCTGCTGCTGTGGGGACAGAATCTGGGGAGATGTCCAAAAACCCCGATGAGATGACGTGTCTGGAACAAGGTCTGGAGCCTGCTAGAAGGCAGTTGATTCGAGCCCATCTGGGCAACTCAAGAAATCAGTGAGATCCTGTCTCAAACCAACATGAAGAGCGGCTGGATGAGCCCAGGTGTGGAGGAGACAGCTGTGCGTGAGCGTGGGTCTTGAATTGCCACCACCCAGACAGGCCTGAGCAAGTTTTCCCCTTGACATCACATCTGGATCTATTCTTTATCAGGTGTTGTCTTAGGGAAATGGTACTGAGAAAGCTATAGGCTCAGGAGCATCGCTTTCAGATTTATGTACCAGGTGTCTTCTTGCAGTGCCGGGGCCTGAATCTACTGGCAGGCCATCTCCCATCCTTTCTAAAATTTTGACATAAGGTCTCTAAATTTCCTAGGCTTCCCTTGAACTTGCAATCCTCCTGATTCAGTTTTAGGAGTAGCTGTGATTACCCACTGCAGCATCCTGCCAGATTTGTGGTAAATGTTTCAAAATTGTTGAATCTATTAAGTTTTTTGACTCCAGGAAGTTTCTGGGCTTATGTCACAGTTGTAGGTGGCTCCTGTACCCTGAATGCCTTCCTGAGAGGAAAACTCAGGCCTAGAGGGGTAGTACTCCCTGGTAGGTTGTGTAGGAATCGACAAAGCAACAGCAAGCAGGAGGAAAGAAGCTGGCAGGTGTGAACACAGGGTCAGAGTGCGGCACTAATGCTACAGTGTGTCCTGAGAGCAGGTTCAGATGGCCTGGAGATTCCCCACAACTCTTTGTTTTTGTTTTTCAAAAGTTCTGGGAATTGGACTTAAAGCCTTCACGCTGACTGCATCCCAAGGTCTTTTCTTTGCATTGGCAAAGACTTACTGTTTAAAATAAACTTCATCCCATTCCCCAGTCAAGCCCCTTCCCCTTCCTATGTACAAAAGCTTTGCTTCCACTTTTTCCTTTTATTTTCACTTTCTTTTCTTGTCCCTTCTTTCCTTTCTCCCTCCCTTGTCCCTTATTCCCCTTCCCATGTGAACACTTCTTTCCTGTTTCCCAGTATTCATTATACATCTTGGTCCTTATTTCTGCTTTCAGTTTCTCACACCAGAGAATGCAGCATTTAAACGTGCGTCCTAGTTATTTCACTTAACAGTGTGGTCTCAAGGTGCATCCATTTAGCTAGAAATGTCTCAAGCTCATCCTTCTTTACAGTATTCCATTGTATTAAAAAAAACACATCTTTATCCACTTGTAAAGTGATGGGCATTTGGGCTGTTTCCAAGATTTAGCTATTATAAACTGCTATGAACATGGGTGTGCACATATCGAGGTGGTATTTTGCTTTTATATTATTTATTTATTTATTTATTTATTTTTGAGACAGGTTCTCACAGTGTAGTTGAGACTGACCTGGAACTTACTATGTAGCCCAGCCTGGTCTCGAACTCCTAGTGATCCTCCTGCCCCAGCCTCCCTAGTGCAGGGATTACAGGTGTGCACCACCACACCTGGCTGATGCTTTTAAATTTTCAGGAAGATACCAAGAACAGGTACAGCTGTCAAATGGAACCTCTAGTTTCAGGGTTTTTGTTTTTTGTTTTTTTGGTACCAGAGATTGAACTTGGGACCTTGTCCTTCCTTGTGAGGCAGGAGGCAGCACCACTAGCTAAATCCCTGGCCCTAGTTTTAGTTTTTTGAGGAATCTCCACACTAATTTTGACAGTGGTTGCACTAGTCTGTACTCCCATTAAGAAGGGTTCCTTTTCCTCATAGCCCTGTCAGCATGTTATTGTTTTTTGTTTTGTTTTGTTTTTTGGTACTGGGGATTGAACTTGGGTCTCTGCACTTGCAAGGCAGGCCACCGAACCACTGAGCTAAATCCCTGACCCAGGTGGTTTTTTTCTTTATGTCTTTTTTTTTTGAGACAGGGTCTCACTATGTAGTTAAGACTGACCTGGAGCTCACTATGTAGCCCAGGCTGATTTTGAACTCAGCAATCCTCCTGCCTTAGCCTCCCAAGTACTGGGATTATAGGTGTGCACCACCATACCCAGCTCAGATTTCTTGATAGCAGCCTTTCTTTCTGGAGTGAGTGGAATCTCAGTGTTGTTTTAATTTGCATCTCTTGAATGACCAGTGATGCTGAACATTTTTTCATATATTTATTTGCTGTTTCTAATTCATTTAAGTGTTTTTTTTTGTTTGTTTGTTTTTTTTAATTTCAGATGTCCATTTTTGCATTGGGTCTTTAAATTTTCCTATTTTTTTATCTTGAGACAAGGTTCTTAAATTGCCAAGGATGAGTTTGGACCTGTGACCCCAGATGCACAGAAGTGACCGAGGCTGATCCTGTAGAGTCACTTCTGGGCACATTCAGACAGCAAGGCGCCCTCCACCCATAGAGGAAGGGAGAAACTGACCAGCTGTCTGCTGCCCATGGTTCTCCTGCTGAGGTTCATGATCTGCATGGTCACAGGTAACCTGGGTAGCAAGAGTGGAGGCTGCGCCTGGCCTGGGGCTGTCAGGTATGGGGGCAAGGCCTGGCCGGCCCTCACTACGTGGCAGAGTGGAGGGAGCACAGGAAGTAGTGAGTGGGGAAACTGGCCATCTCAGGGGTGACTCCAGCTGTGTGGCATGGCTCAGTGCCTCCCTCTGAGCAGGTTCTTTCTGGGACACTGAGAAGCAAAACGTACACTGCAGGGCAGGGCACTTCTCTACTCGCCAGTTAAAGAAACTTTGCCCTAAGCTACATCCCAGCTACCCTTTCAAAAACAAAAACAAAAAACTGAGACAAGATCTCGTAAATTGTCCACATGGGACTCAAAATTGCTGGATTAACAGGTGTTCTGTGTTGACACCTGTGATCTCTTTAGCATTTTAAGCCAGGAACATACCTGTCACCCCAGGACTCTGGAAGGCTGAGGCTGGAGGATTACAGTGAGTTCAAGATCTGAACTACATAGTGAGTTCAAGACCAGCCTAAACTATACAGACACTGTCTCAAAAAAATTAAAAACAAAGCGGGGTGTGGTGGCACATGCCTGTAATCCCAGCACTCAGGAGGCTGAGGCAGGAGGATCACTGTGAGTTCGAGACCAGTCTGGGCTACACAGTGAGCTCCAGGTCAGTCTCAACTACATAGTGAGACCCTGTCTTAACCGCCCCCCCCCAAAAAAAACCCAAACCAAACCAAACAAAAAAATAGAATTAAGATGGGGCTGGGGATTTGGCTCAGTGGTGCTGCATCTTCCTCAAAAGTACAAGGCTACCTAGTTCAATCTCGAGTACTGCAAACAACAACAAAAACAGAGGGACGGGCATTTAGCTCATTGGTTCCACCGCCTGCTCCGCAAGCGCAAGGTCCCAGTTCGATCCCTGGTACCCAAAACAAGCAACAACCACAACCACAAAAATACCAAAAACCAAAACAGAACTAAGATGTTTGTACACGGATCAACTCCCCAGGCAGAAGTCAATCATTACTCTAAATACAGACCTTGAAAAAGCTGGAGGCAAAAAAGAAGAAGAAGAAAAAAAAACAACTTGTTTTAAGAAGCGTAGACCAGGGCCGGGGATGTATTTCAGTGGCACAGCGATTGCCTGGCAGTTTGAGGTCCTGAGTTCCAGCTCCAGTACAAAAAAAACCCACAAAAACAAACCTCAAACCACATGACCAGGCACTAGGGCGTTACAGCGAGAGCACACTGGCCAATCGCAGGGCGGG